GAACTGGATTGTATTCAGCAAAAGAAAAACTTGGCTCCTTGAAGGAGGAATTGAGGATACACGAGAAAAAAATAGACCTTGGAATACATATTAATTATTTTTTTATGAACTTTTATATTTTATCACCCTTTAAAGCAATTTTACCTGTGTCATTTTTGACTTAATGGAAGCGAATTTGACATAATAGTTTTACAACTTTGGTAACCATTTCGTCAAACAAAATTAGCAGGAAATCAGATCCAGTATTGATGAAGTTACAAAGTGAGAATCACTAGAATTAAAATGTGAAGAAGGTATATTTTATTTTTTAGATCGATATTGTTTTGTTTTAACCATGAGTTGAAAAAGGCCCATCAGTATAGAATCTATGAATCTCATCAATTTTGATATTAATTTTATCAACCCCAGTAGTAGTTTAATTCATCCATCCAGCATCAATGTGTGATTTACGAATATCGTCATCTCTGCTCTGCCATTATAATTATCCGCAATATACCAAATTAGTCCATACAGTAGTGGTTAGCAAACGTGTGCCACGAAAAGAAGGGTGCCAAAATAGACACAAGAGCAACAAGGTCATCAATAAGGCAGGTGATCATACAGCCATACAGATTTTGTACTACAGTAAAAAGAAGGAATGATATAAGGATGGATGTCTCTAATTGAGAACTAAAGGTGCTGTATACTATCTGATCGCTGTGTTACAAATTTGGAAAGCGGGTATGTTAGCATTCGTTGTACTGTACTGTCTCTCTCTAGAGATAAGACTGATTGAAAGATAAATAAATAGGAAATTAACAATTTTCTAGAAAACATGTCTAATAATTTAATCTTACTGTAGGGTTGATTGCAAAAAACATATTTATGGAAATCAGCGCGAGCACCCAATTTATAAGCATGCCAACTATATAGTGTTTATATTTATTCATCCATTTATTAATTTGTTCATTCTAGAATACGAAATCAATATTTCACAATAATAAAACAAAAAGAAAGGGACCCAATTTAAAAGATTTTTAAAAAAAGTAAATGTAAATAATATTCTATCCTTTAAAAAAACAATTTGTAATTCAAAATTAGAGACGAGGAAATTAATAATGACGACAATAATCATAGGAAGAAAAATATTGAGAAAAAACTAGTATATATGAAATTTTTTGATCCGACCCCCAATTCGCACAGGTGATTGATATTATTGAAAACTTGATTAATAATATCATCTGGCATCCATTCCTACAAATATAACAATAATAAAATTTGCTACAGAAATTAAAAAAAGATTCTTTTTTTTTTTTTAATCAATTTAAAAAAAAAGTTTCACAAGTGACAAAGTAACCTGTTATAAAGTATTCCTCTAGTTCTAGATTTGAGTTGAAATGATATTTAATGAGGTTTTAAGTAAGTGTGAATTATTAACATTTATAAAAGATTGCTCAAAACCCGTAGCACTAGTTTTTTCCTTACTTGGGATAGATTGTATGATTTTTATTTTTTTATTTTTTTTTATTTTTTTTATTTTTTTTATTTTTTATCTACCACGACCATCTAATCGGAGAGGTTTCTTTTCTTTTGTTCGCTGCGGTCTAACCCTTTGATCAACTAACTCCAGAAATAATCAATAACCGAATGAGTGCGATAATAATAATAAAAATAAATTGTTTGTTTATGTCGCAAACAAAGTAGTCTATCTATATATATATATAACAAACAAAAATTACGCTAGTACTAAAGTGTATGATTATTAAATAAATACAGTCGTCGCGTAATAAAAATCACATTTGGTCAATGAATGAATGTGCCGTTGCAAAGTTTTTGTTCCGTTCGCGAATTAGTCATTTTTTTCGATTGTGATCCTTCTTCCCTTTAAGTGAGTTAGTCATTTTTTTGATTGATATATAAACTGTTTGTATTTATCGATCGAGCAAAATTCTTTTCAATCCAACAACTCTCTTTTCGATAAAACGATAAATAAAAAATAACACAATAATACTTTGGCTTATCCTTTCTTTATCTTTGACTTTTTTTTCTGAAAAAATGCCATCGATCAATGTGCGTCATTTGATTTTTTTTTTTCCACATGCTCACTTCCGTCCTATATAAGGAATGAATTTTCACAATTTGATTTCAATTTTTTTTATACAGTTTAAAATACTTTTACAAGGGTATTACGTAGCAATAAATCATGTGTAAATAATTACACAAATTTGAATCTCACAGCTTTCATAATACGATTTGCTCGAAGAAAAAATGTCTGAAATTAAACGTTGCACGGAATTTAAAACCACTAAATCAGCTAAATTTCGTCAACTGAAAGGCAATAAATGGAAAGAAACTGAGAACAACAACTTAGTGAAGGTAACGTGGACAGAAGATGTTGTTTTATGTAACATTTGTTTGATTTTTCATGCGTTGTTCATTTTTCGTACCTTAATTTCGTTGTGTTTGCGATCATTTCATTGAAATTCGTTATGTTAAGGTTATTTTGATTATATCGAGAGAGAAGATTTAGGAAGAGAGTTATTCTTCAACCAAGTCAAAAACCAACCCTTTAAATACATTTTCGAGTAGTACGATTTAATTTATTAGACTGTTTCAATGGCTTGTCGCATGGTTGCTTCCAACTTCTTAAATTCGAACCATTTGTTAACGAAATAATTGGATTGTTGACAAAATGAATCAAACCCATATTTATTTCTACGTTATCAAATTCACGATTTTAATTGGTCAATCACCAAATTGCGTGGGTTAAAATTTTGTGTTCCCAGAACGGTCTCTCTGCTCACTTGCACATCCTCGATTACAAAACTTGTTAAATTAAAAAATCGAGATTTTTTTTAGAAAAAATTTTTTTTGTTAATATTCTTTCTTAATTGACAAGCTTTTTTTATTTATAATTCTGTAGTGTATTAAAATGGGTAAGTAAATTCAATTTATTCAATTAATTAAAAAGAAATTCAATTAAAATTTTTCCATTATTATTGAAAAAAATTTTTTTAACTGTCAATTACTAAATAATAATAATAATAGCTGTTGGCAAGGTAAATCGGAAATTTCGTTCATTTCTTCAATTCATTCATCTATTTTTTTTTGGTTTAATTGATTGGTTAAATAACATCAATTTATTATTTTATTGAATAAAATAGAATAAACGTCTTAGCAAAGGAAAAAAAGGATTAAAGAAAAAAATGTGTGTTTTTGAATAATCAATATTTAATAATTAATGTTAATTAATACTTCTTAATGATTAATGTATCGATGGAAAAAAAAAGTTTTTCTAATTTAATCTAATCAATTTTTTTAAATATTTATAATATCATAGTGTTGATCCATTTACTCGTAAAGATTGGTATGATGTGAAAGCTCCATCAATGTTTTTAGTTAGAAATGTTGGTAAAACACTCGTTAACCGTACGCAAGGTTTAAGTAAGTAATGCATTGATAATGATTTTTTAGCTTAGCTTTTCAATAAATTGAACCATAATAATTATAACAATTATATAAATATTTATTTATTCATTTAAAATAGAAAATGCTGATGATGCATTAAAAGGTCGTGTGTTTGAAATTTCATTAGCTGATTTAAATCAAGATGAAGAACAAGCTTATAGAAAAATCAAATTAAGAGTGGATGAAGTACAAGATAGAAATTTATTAACGAATTTTCATGGAATGGATTTTACATCTGATAAGCTTAGATCTTTGGTCAGAAAATGGCAGGTAAAATATATATATAAAAAAAAGATTTTCTTGCTTATATACATCTATTTTTGGCATTACTAATCAAATAATTCAATTTTTACTTAATTATTTAATTATTTATTTTGTTTACCTATTAAAAATCATTTTAGACTTTGATTGAAGCACATGTTGATGTCAAGACAACAGATGGATATTTACTTCGTTTATTTGCAATTGCTTTCACAAAAAGGCGACCAAATCAAATTCGTAAAACCACATATGCACAAACTTCACAAATTCGTCAAATTCGTAAAAAAATGTTTGACATTATGACTGCTCAGGCTACTAGTGCAGATTTGAAAGGTTTAGTAGAAAAATTTGTACCTGAATCAATTGGTCTTGAAATTACAAAAGCTTGCCAAGGAATTTATCCTCTTCAACACGTAAGCATTTATTATTACTATTATTATTTGAAATATGTATTTTTATATATTTTAACAAATAAAAAAACCTCCCAAAAAAATTCTTTTTATAATATAGGCTTATATTCGTAAAGTAAAAATTCTTAAAAGTCCTAAATTTGATGTACAAAAATTAATGGAATTACATGGTGATAGTGCTGATACTGGTTCTAAAATAGGTGCTAAAGATTTCAAAGAACCAGAAGTTCAAGAATCAGTATAAAGAAAGATTTTTTTGATTGTTTAACTATAATTTTGTTAATATATATTTATTATGATATATATTTTGCAATATTGGTAGCAATTAATATATTTAATTAATAAAAAAATTTATACACAATTAATAAAGAAAAAAAAGGAAATAGTTCTTAGAATTGTTTATTAAAAGTAAAATAAAATAAAAAATATATATATAAAATATTATTATTATTATGAAAAAAAAAATTATGATATGTATTTTTATGTCCTTTTTTTTAAAAAAAAAAAACAAATGATTAATATAAAATAATATAAAATAATTATAATAATAATAACAATCAAAATCTTTACAAAATAAAATATTCACATAAATAATTAATGCAATAATAGGTTTTGACAAATAATTAATAAATGTACCTGTTTGCCATAATTACTACTACCACTATACTACATCATAATTCTTCCACATCCTAATTACTATTAATATTTTAATCCATATCCACCACAACAATTAATTACCCAAAACATCAAGAAGATCTTACAGCAAAGAAAAAATATCATATTTTAATGCACAAAATCAATTTTTCAATAATATAAAATCCAGCAACAAAAAGGATAAAAATAAATAAATAAATAAATCATCATCAAACAAAATAGTTTTTCTTAATTTTGATTCCAGTATTGACTACGATTTCCGGCACCTTGATGATGTGCTTGATGAGGGTGGTATTGATGGTTTTGTGGATATTGATAACTATTAAACACTTGTTGAGCTTGTTGTTGACTATAATAATTGGGAGTGTTAGATTGTTGTTGATGCTGTATTGCACCAGATTGACCAACCCCCGAAGATTGTTGTTGGCCTGATGCAGAAGTTTTATCCTGATAAGATTTGTATTGGCCTTGAGGATTCAAGTCTGAATTATTGTTACCAGTCTTTGATGATGTAGTGGTATTTGATCCACCTGATGCAGAGGAAGGTTGTGGATTGCTATTAACACCTCCTGCATTACCCAAGAAATTAATTGGTGGCATACCACTGCCTCCTCCATAAGTTTTCTGATAATCATGAACATTAGGTACTGCACCAGGAAGATGATGTATCGGAGGAGACACTTCATCATATCCAGTGTTTGAGTAATGAGGTGTGCTGGGAGTAGTAGGGGTCGTGGGGTAACCATAAGGTGATGCGCCTGATGCTGATCCAGGTTTGCTAGTGTGTGGGTTGTACATTGGATACATTGATTTATTTACATTTACAAATGGTTGGCCGTAACCAGATTGCTGATAGGCAGAAGGAAATTGGTTTGTCATATAGTAGTATGGATGATAATATGGTACACTAACAGGATATGTTTGTTGTTGTTGTGGATTTTGATTTTGTTGATTAGTGGATTGTTGTGCTCCTGTTGTTTGTTGACTGGCGGATTGTGTGGATGATGAATTGCTAGTTGTTTCTTGTGAATACTTGTCTCTTCCTTGAAATCCACCTACTGAAGATGTAACAGGCGAGGCTTGTGGGTATGAAGGGTCTGCATAATATCCCTATTAATAATATTGTCGTTAGCATTAAAGTTAAAGGTTTATTTATTAATTTATCAATTACCATACGTATAAATATATATATTAATTAATTGATCAGTAAATTTACCATTACTCCTCGCTGAGCTTCAGCAGGATATAATGTAGCATAATCAGGTTGAATAGGTCCAATACCAAATTGTGACAATTGATTTGGTGGTTGATTTATGTAAGAAGTATAGGGAGCACTTATTGGCTCTATTCCTCCCAAATGATGTTGATTTAAATATGCAGTAGCGGCAGATTGTTCTTGTTGTTGTTTCAAGTATGAAGCATTTGTTGGCACACTTGATGGTGCACTGCTGTTGATAGATGATGGTTGTTGTTGTTGTGTGGATGAGGTAGATGAGCTGGATGTAGGTAGGCGATTAATAGAAGTTGGCTGAGATAATGAATTAGAAGATTGTGTTTGTACTTGTGTAGTTTGTTGCTGCTGTTGATTGGAGGTTTGTTGTTGTAATTGTATTTGAACCGCTTGTAATTGTTGTTGATGTGTTTGTTGTTGCTGATGTAATTGCTGTTGCTGTTGTTGTTGCTGTTGCTGTTGCTGATGTAACTGTTGTTGCTGTTGCAACTGCTGTTGTTGTGTAACTTGTTGTTGAGCTGGTAAAGTAATTTGATGGTGGTTAAGCGGTTGTTGGGATTGCTGTTGTGGTGGTGGAGATTGTGATTGTTGAGTTTCAACAACTGTAGAAGAATTAGAAAGTTCATCTTGATGGGCAAGAGATGAAAGATCATTTTCGACCATTTCTACCTGTTCCTCAGAAGTTTCTGATAAACTTAAACTACCAAATTGAACACCGACTCTTTCTACACCAGTTCCATTAGTAGGCATTACAACAGGGGCATCTTGTTTGAGTCGACGTGCAGTAGTAGTTGTTTTTGATTTTAGACTGTGTGGTATGATTTCTTTTGCACGTGGTGAAACAGAAGTCACTATTGGTGATGATGAGGATGATGAGGATGATGATATTATGGGTGTATTAGTGGAATTGGCGATGTTTTCTTGTTCAGATGAAGGAATGGAAGTGGTTGTGGTATTAGAAACAATATTATTATTAATAGTAGTAGCATTTGCAGCAGATAAGGAAGGTGAAGGTGTTGTTTGTTGTTGTAGTGAATTAGATGTAGGCGTAGGTGATGATGGCTGCGATGATGGTGTATTTGTAGCAGAAGTTGATAAGATGTTTGATATTCCAGTAGCATTTGATGGTGGGGTCAAAACTTCCTTATTTAACAATGGTGATGATGCTGGAGGTGATTTTTTTTTAGTTTCTTCAATTTCAGAGATCGCAATTTCTGGAGTAGAAGTCGTTGAAATGGTTTCTTGTTGGAAATCATTATTAATACTTATGTTGTTGTTATCATTTATAATGACTTGTTCAACAACTTTTGATGGAGACTGTGTCGGTATTGGTGGAGTTGTTTTCGATATATTCGGTGATGAAGGTTTTGTTGCTTCAAGTGAGCCCTTGGTATTAGTGTTGTTATGATGTTGCTGTATAGGGGTAGTAGATGTTGTTTCGGGTTTATGTTCCGGTTTTTGATCAGGCCTATATACACATAAAATCATCATATATAATTGTTTGGGAGTTTTTTTTTGATTCCCAATTATGAAAATAAATAAATATATTTGGGGTATAACAAAGAAATTTGCACAATAATGAGAATAATGAGAATAATGAAAAAAAAAATTATTTGATTTGTTACTATATGATTTATTTAAAAAAAATTTTTGATTATAAAAAAAATTTTTTTAATGAAAATATGATTGAAAACACACTTCACAATTTGAGCCCAAGAAGTTTTGGACTGAGGAGGTATTGTCCGTGATTTAGGCGGTACTGGTGATTTATTAGAAGAACTAGGAGTAGGTGTAGATGATGAATATGAGTAAGGTTTCGATGTAGTAGAATTTTTGTATGATTTTGAAAAATCCCTAGAATTTTTATTATTGTTGCAATTATCAGATACCCGTAACTCATTGGAGTTATGATGAGTATCTGAAGATGATGATGCCCAACCATCTTTATTAAGATTAGAGTCATCCTTGGAGAAATCATTAGAGGAAGTAGCAGTTGTTGTAGTAGATATGTTGATATCTTCATCTCCCCAACTACCTTCAGTTTTTGATTCTATTGTTGATGACCAATTAGTAGCAGTATTCTGTGATGATGAAGGTACTACTTCGTTTTTTGTAGATTTAGTAATGAAGGTTGGTTCGGTATCGCCCCAACTTTTTGTCTCATTAGAATTCCAATCATTATTAGTAAGGAATTCGTCATTGTTAGCATCTGAAGACCAATTATTTCCTCCACCAGACGAATCATTGTTGCCCCAAGAATTAGAATCGTTGGTGGTAGATGATTTGAATTGGTTACCGTTACTTGTTTCGTTGTGATGAAAAGAAGAACTGGGTCCATTTGGATGTTGACGTGAAGTTCGACCATGTCCTTTTATTGTTATTATTTAATCATTATTATTTAATTGATTATTTAATTATTAATTTTGACTTTAATTTTGTTTGACACTAAAACATACCTGAACCATTTTCTTTTTTTATAGCTCGACTACTACTATTAGTTCGATCATCTCTTCTTCCACCACGACCACGAGATCTTCCATTACCTCCAACAATATTACGTTGTTGCTGCTGATGATGTTGTTGTGGTTCATTATTATGACCAACATTACCACTATTACCGGTAACATTAGTAACAACACCACTACCAGCACTACCACGTTGAGAAACACCAGGTTGTCCGGTAGATTTGGTTTTATTGCTATGATCTTTTTTAGATTTACGAGATTTAACTTCACCCCATTGACTTGTATGACCTTTTATTTATATTTTAAAAAGAGATAAAATTAATTAATCATTTATTTATTTATTTTAAAGCCTTCTTTAAAAAAATTTTTTATAGTTATAATCTCATTAATTTAATATTTAATAAAATTATAAATTTGAAAATCTTAAATTTAATATGTAGATGATAGTGATGGTAATTAAAAATTTAAAAGAAAAAAAAACAAACCATCACTGATTCGACTAACTGTGAGTTCGATGTCACCTTCAGCTTCGTTTAAAGTGAACAGCAAATCTGCTTCTGTCCAATCTTCAAACATTTCTTGTAATGTCGCTAATTTGTCTTTATAGAGAGATCTCAACTTTTTTACTTCTTCAGTATCTGCTATATCTGCTACACTTACTGTTTTTTTATTTTTCTTACTAACACCTGTTGTTGACGGATGATTATTATTATTATTAGTTCGTTGTGTGTCGTGCTCGTATGAACCCATGATTATAATTTGTATTTATTTATATATATAAAAATGTGCGTGTTGTATTATAAGTTATATATATATGTATGTATTATATATATATATATATGTTTGTATCCGATAGAGGGTAAAAATTTTTTATTTGTGTGTGTAAGTTGAGGCTCTATATTTGTTTGTTTGTTTGTTGGGTTTTTTGTTGGTTAAATACTTAGTTAGCTAACAATAATTCACTAGTAAAAAAAAATTTAAAAAAGAAAACAGATTTATTTATCAAAATTTTTTTTATAAAAAATTTTTTATTTAGTATTTTTTGTTTCCTTTTAAAACTTTTTTTTAAAGAGATATGATATTAATATTAATATGGGGCATACTGTAACAAAACTGGATGGTGAACAATTTTATCACAAATTTCAGGGATCAAAATTTAGTAAATTATCATAATTGTACTACCAATATAATGTGACATCGTACCCAGTGTTATCGGTGTAACATTATTATCCAATCAAATTTTGGATTTCTAGATGTAATTTCTAAATTTGTACTATAGTTATGAAATTTTATCATTATTTTTAAATATTTATAATAAATCAAAATAAACAAATTATTACTTACCTTTTGTTGTTATTTAATCCTTTCCTTGTACATAAATAATACTTTTGTATCCACCATTGTATATGTCTATTACAATGTTCATAATGATTATACAATACACTTGGCACTATTTTTCTTAAATTTGCAAAAGAGTTAATAAATAAACAAATCTGATAAATTGCATCACCAAAGTAATAATAAAAATACTAGCTAGGACCATGCAGAATGAAACTTTTAAGGGTCCAATTTTGGAAAGCCACACATAAAAAAATCTGGAAGGGTGGTAATTTTCATTTCCCTTAAAATGAATGACCCATAATAAGTTTGTACTGAAAGGTGGAAATAAACCCATGATTTTTTGCTATATTTTAATTCATGACTCCTTTCCATGTAGGAAAATGGTAGTGGCTAAACCTCTACTTTGTTCCCCTTTTTTTGTGTGCATAGGTGATGTTGTGTGCATTTATGCTTCCCAATTGTATACAAGTTGTAGGGTTCCTTGATTTTAATAAATATCTTATTATTATTATTATGTCAGATATAATAAGTTTCCTCCCTCAAAACATGTAATACATGTCCTTCATAACCATGGAATTTTTTCACAGATGAAAGAGTTTGCCAAGTTGGAAGTATACATGCAGCCCAAATTGGTTTGGTGATTTCAATGGTCAACATTATTCCAATTTTGATGGTATAAAGTAGAAATTAATTACAGCACTCACTATTAAAAACATAAGTGTAACACCCCTTTACAACACATGTAACCCCCTTTATGACAGTGCAAAATTAAGGCTCTGAACAGATCAGATCTTATTAAATTATAATCTGTTTTAAATCAGATCAGATCAGCTCAGATCAAAGCTAGACCAGATCAGATAAAAATTATTGATTCATAATTTCTTTCATAAATTTTATTATTATTATATATACATAATACTTCAGATCAGATCTCAGATTCCAGATCAGATCAGATTTCAGATCAACTTAAACGGATTTCAGCTCAGATTATACATGAAGTTGAAACTATTTCAACCATTTGCAGATCTGGTTAAAATTAGGGTCAAAATTAGGCCAAAACTGATGTAGTTGCCTCAAGTTGAAACATTTCAACTTTGGGGTTTTAATTTCGACTTCATGTATAGCTTAGATCAGATCAGATCAAGTCCAATATTTTTAAAAAACCAGATCAGATCAGATTTCTTCCAAATATGATCTGATCTGATCTGTTGGGAGCCTTAGTCAAAATACTTTGAGCTGCATGTATAATTGGAAGGCTTTGGACAAGTAAGATGCTTTAGCCAGTGTTGGAATTTAGCCATTAACCAGCCAACTAAAGATGGGAACTAAAATTAGCCACAATTCAATTTTCATATGCCACAACTGCAACTGCAATTCAATTTTTATACACTGCAATTAATTGAGGAGCCATCTTTACAGCCAATACAGTGAAAAAAAATATTTAAATTAATAATTTTCCATTGTGTGATAGTAAAATATGGACTGGCTTAAAATCCTCATTTATGACAATCAATCAGAATGAACTTACTACTGCAGCCACACAATTACAGTCAGGGAGATTTCCAAATTTGGAAATCAATTCTAGAAATTTTGTTGATCAATTCATATACACTACAAATGAGTTTAGAAAACACTCCCCCGTTATGTTATGTCGCGTCTTTTTATATAAAACTTTAAAAAATAACTGTTAAATAATACTCTTTTGGATATATAGTTTCATAATCCCTGCTCATCCCCAAAGCTTTACAAAGTAGTTTTTTCAGAAATAAAACTTGAAATTGCGATTATTTTTTTTTTTTTTTCATAGAATCATATGTATATAAATTATAATGACAAATACAACACTCAAATCAAAAGATTTACCATGCTTATTTGAAAATCTTGTTGAGAGATATCAAAATACTCTTTTAGTTCAGTGTGAAACTAAGGAGAATCAGAAACAGCATTTTGCATCAGGAGAAAAATCAACTGAAAGAGCAAAACTTTTGGCTAAGTATTATTTTCATTAATTATTTAGAAAATTATTCTATTTGAAAAACATGATAATCAACTTGTTGCTAATAATTATTTTATTGAGCATTTAAAAAAGATAGATAATTCAAGGTCATCATATATCATAGAAGAAAATGAATAAGAAAATTCATTATATATCATCCATTAATTCCATTTATTATGAACGTAAGAAATTTCAAATTTATTATATATATCCATTAATTATAGATGTAGGAAAATTCAAATTTATTTTACTTTCTCAATATT